TATTAACCTGGTCATTCTTGACTGGTACAATGAAACACACTAGAAGCATCTTCAATGCATCTCTGATTAATATAGGGCATAGGAGTACTTGAAAAGGAAACTGCTCCAAAAACTTTAACCTGGGACGCCGACGCCAACGCCGACACCGAAGCCGAGGGTATTACTTCGTTGAGGAGAGCTAAAAAGGAATTCTAAGTACTTCATTGTTAACGGTTTGTTAAAATCTGAACCTACAAAAGTTGAACAATTTTTGTGAATAAACTATATTCTTTGAGCTTCATTTGCATAACATTGTAATTGATTTAACAATCTTGTATACCGGCGTATTCTAAATTTCGTAATGGATATTTTGAAAAATAAATCATTTCAATATAAATACAGAATATTTTGTTTATTTCGATAGCAAATCTCTATCTAAAGTCGATATTAAAAGAAATTGATTTGGAAATAGAAATCAAAAGTTGAAATTTAATGTATACAGTTCAACGCATTGAATTCCGTTGGTATATAACAAGTGTAAATGCTTATAAGTGCAACATTAAACCTTTTGTATTTAAGAGGGCTGGGGGTTGCTGCCATTTTAGAGTGTTATTATCTTTAAACAAAAAAAGATTTCACTTTGAAGTCTTGTAACTCTTCCATAGTCCTGGAAGAGTTAATGTTCTTTAAATGAACTCTTCATCCTAATAAGGTAATAATAGTCCATAAAAACAATTGTCAAGATAAACTGTCAACAGTGTCAAGACAAAACTAGGCCGTTTATAAGTGGTGGAAAAAAGAAACAGACAAGATTTATCCGTTTATGTAAACAACAATAAAAGCGACAACAGTGATTGTTTTTCTACGTACAGTCTGAAGTGCATGTTCTGCAAAACCATGCATACTTCTCCGAAGAGAAAACACGTGTCCAAGTATACTGAGTTTTTCAGTGTTTGTCATCGGTATATTATTGCTTAAAACCTGGACAATATTGACCAGTCTTCAGTTTCAGGTAATACGTTTGATTGTTCTTTCTTTGTATTTTATCAATTATAAACATGTTTAAACAGACAAAAATGACTTCCTAAACAGCTAAATGATACATGTATATGTATACTAGGCAATTTGCTTGAATATTACATGAATTGTTCGATGACAAATATAAAGAATAGGACTCGGGTTATTATAAATTGGTATTATTTATTCCATGAAAGGAATTTCAATAATCCTTAAGGCCCTGGACATATTACTTTACTAAAGGCAGATATGATGATATGTAATGTGAATAATATGTCCTTGTTACAAAAAAGTTGTTAAATATTTTGACATTGTTAATTATGGAATATAAATAAGGCTCTAATTTTATAATTTAAGGTACTTGGTGAATGATTAATTACATATGATATGACATAAGATTTAAAATGCATTTTAGAAAAATGTTCTTATTATCAATTTATCAGCATTTATGTGTCATATTCAGAAATTCTGGGAAAATTAACTGGAGCAAAGCTGACTTGTAACATTTTCATTGTAAGAAGGTTTCTTTTAATTGAATTTATTTTATCTGATGTAATTGTTATATTTTTAGCCACTTTCCGCTTTATATTTGTGTTTCATATTTTTTTTGTTATGTTTTCATGTTGAAGTAATGTGCAGTATACCAAGATGTAATAAATTCGAAAATTAAGGATGATTGTGGTGTTGTCCTTTATACTAAAATATAACTGATGATTATATCAAGCATTTCTGCCAATTTGATCAATTTTGAAAAAAAATTGTTTAGACCCCCAGCCTCCTTGTATAGCCCTGAAGAAATGGGGCTCCCTTAAGTATACAAATAAAAGAGGTCTCCTACAGGATAACTAAGTATTATGCAAATTAAAATTTAAAAAAAAAAACAAAGAGTAAATGTGATACTCCCCCTCCCCCTACATGTAATAGGACTATTTAGTTGGGACAGCCCCCTTTTCCCTGTCAAAGATTGTTCAGATTAGTTGTCAAATATTATTTTTCTGGTTTCCCCCATTTTTCGAAAACGATAACACTGCCAGTAAAAATCGAGAAAAAAGTTACATTTCACTGCTTATTACATGAGGCTAATGAAGCCAAAGAGATAACATGTCAGGCTTTCTAGAAATCGAAATTGTTACTTCTGTAAAGTGCGGCTATCGAAAATCGAACCTGGACCTCTCGAGCACGCCCTAGGCCTTCCACTAGACTACTGTGACCGGTGTGTAATTTTGTTTGTTTTTGTTATCTTCGATGTAATTACAATAATTTGTTATCATTTTTCTGTGTCTCTAATTTATACACTTTGTAATCTTTTTTCTCACTGAATGTTTAGAGGACTGTCATATTAGGGTTTCAATTTCTTTCTTGAAAATTTGTATTTTTCAATATAATGGTCCCCTTTGATAATAAGAATTTAATATTTTAACACAGTGCTGATTTCAGTTTATTCAGTGCAAGTGAATAAAGGCTTCATGTAAGTATAGATGTGTCCATGCAAATAAACGCATAAGGGCTATACCTATTGTACAGAATAGGTTAGAACTTATTTTCTAATACAGTCTTGGTTCCCACGATGGGAGCCAGTACACATTATGACGTCACATAATGACGTCATTCTCCTCTACTACAACCAGTTTTAAAGAACTTCAAGAAAATAGCTTCGACACAAGGATATACTCTATTTAAATTTATAGAAACATAACATTCCAAGGATTGATGATATTGGTGCACAAATATCGACAGATCAATTGTTAAGGTACTATTTATAAAGTTCTGAGTTGAAAAAAGGTAAAAATTCACAGTTCGGTGTAAGTTTTCTGATATTCATATCAAATTAGAAAGTGCATACAATTTGTGCAGCACTTTTATCAATTATAAGAATATTCTTCCTATAATTATACATCATTTATGTAAAATTAAATAGGATTTGCCCTTGCGCCGAAGCTCTTTTGTTGATATGTTTTATAACTTGGAGTAGTAAAGAACGATGACGTCATAATATGACGTCATATTGTGCACTGGCTATGTGAAGAATTGAATCATTATTTTTTGAAAGAAATAGTCTCATACATGTAACTTCAATGGTGTGTGCAGACTAATAGAGTAACGTACGTAAGCGCGTTATGAAAATTTTTGTTTGCAGACACTTTTGTAGTTATAAGATTATATCTTTCAAAAAAAAATGATTCAATGCTTATATTTTCATTTTCAACACCTTGCTTCGACTGCAAATGTGATTTTTATTCCAAAATCCCTGTATTATCCCTACGGTAAATAACAATTAATGGAAGAGCCATTGCAACAGCTTCTTTTCAAAGTGAGCGTGAATTTTGATTTTCGCTTATAGCGTTGCACGTCCACGGCGTTCAACGTTTGTGACGTCAAAATAAAACACATGCTTTAATACTTTTGACACCCTGTCCGTGTTATGTTGTTTTGGATGCCGTCAATTTCAAAGCAAAATACATGTGGAATGTAAATATCATGCCTTAGGAACTACATGTAAGGATGTAAAAAATGATTTGAAACTTTTTTCTGCACAATAGGCATACCTCTGGTGCGGTTTTATTAGCTCATGTGCACAGAAATGCCTATACCTAGCCTTCACTCACTTGCGAGAAGAATAAACCATGTGCCAAATTGTCAATTATGTATACTTTTTATCAAAAAGATGATATAATTTCTTTAAACCCCCCCCTTTAAATAAATAAATAAATAAATAGATAAATAAAATTGTGAATGTATACAAAATGTTATGTGTCTTGATACTTATAATACGTATCTTTTCAAGTGTCGATGTAATTTAGAGATTGTAGGCGAAATCATAGCGATGAAGCCTAATGTCAATATACAAATTAATGTAGTTCTTCAGTTCTTTAAGGCTTTATCCTCATCATACGAGTAATTATCTAGATGATTGCCTTCCTGTTTTGGCCTGAATTTGCTGTTTAATTTAAAAAAATCAATAAGCTGTTATCCGGATCACATTTTAAGATCCGTATATTGTTTTTTTTTAGTTTCAAAATTTTTGTTAGAAACCATTGTAAGTAAGAATGTTAAGGTATTAAATCCGTTTTGTTTTACAATTGTATGAATTTAAAATGATATCGTTGCAAATGACACTTAAATGACACTTAAATAAATCTGTTTATTGTCTGTTTTGAAGGAAGAAATGCATATAAAAAGCTTATTTCTACAGGAAACATTCAAAACCTCTACAATGAAGGCACAAAAGCAACAGAAGTGAGTCTGCTGATATGTTGACGTATAATTTTAATTTCATTATTTTATAATATGGATTTGCTGGAAATTTCGTCTCAAATCTTACTAGTAGTTTGTCTTCTACAGATCATGCTGATTCGAATTTATGCAAAGTAATCATATTCCTTGTTAATAATTTACCTTACATAAAACAGACGTTTTTTTCCATACTCATTTACAAGATTAAAATTAATCTTCTCATCATTTTTTTTTGTTTTTGCCGCATCCGTTCTAGCAAACAATATGAAAGAAAAAGTGACAATTCCTCTCAAAATAATTTGATCAAAATCAGAAAACAATAATACGACAAAAATTCATCGGAATACATCATGGGATTTACTTTCAACAAGTTGTGCTCATTAAAAGAATCTCTGATAGTGATATTCGTTTGTTTATCGATAATGTATTCGAGATGTTACATTTGTGACTTTGGTACAGTGAATTGTACTTGCCAAGAAGTAAAGAATCAAACAAAAGTAGATTGCTCACACAAAAAGTTGCTTGAAATTCCAAAGTTTTATGAAAACAGTACCTGGATCGACCTTAGTGATAATTTTATTGAAAAAATTGAAAACACTTTTCCTAAGGATGTGTATTATATCGATCTCTCCAAAAACAAGCTTAAAACAGTGAGTAACATTTCATTTCAGGGACTACAAAAATTGAAAACGCTGAATTTGGACTATAACCACATAAATTTTTCATCGTTCAGGAAAGAATTTTTTTCAGATTTAAAATCACTGACAGAGATGAATTTGAAGGGAAACATTAATCCAATGGATCATATTTTGATTCGAGATGATGCTTTTTCAGAGTTAATAGCATTAAAAATGTTGAAAATTGACGGCCCACGAAATATTACATTCGGGGAAGGATTCTTAAAATTAACAGATATGAATATCTTAGATCTGTCTGGAATCACAGGACATTGTTCGTTTCAAAAAATATGGCAAGGTTTTTTCAAGTATTTGCCTAACTTGACCTACATTGATGTTTCAGCATGTGAAATCTTGCATGTTTATGATGGAGCGTTTGGGAGTCTCCCATTTCTTAAACATCTTGATATATCCCATAACAACAGATTAGGATTTGCCTCACTTCCAAATATCACAAAAAATCTGGACAAAACAGCCATAGAAATTTTTCGATTTAATGGTATAAACTGTTTGACTGGAACAGGGACAAAAATCCGTACATGTCATCTTATCAACTTAAAAGACACAAAAATTACCGAATTATACATCGAAAAAAACCGACTTGAGCAGTTTGAGGCAGGAGCTATAAAAGTTCTTCCCAAAACGTTAAAAAAAGTATCCCTTGGGGAAAATAAATTGACTCAAGGGAAATATATGATAGACTATTTCTCTGTGGAAAGTGTTCGCATCTTTAATATAAGCGTTCAACTTCGACCAGCGCCGTTTCCGTGGTCAATATTCGAAAACTGTATTGAAAAGCACGACGACTGTGAATTTTCTTTTTCAGAAAACGATAGAAGAACAGATGCAGAAAGAAGTACAGATATATTATTTCGTACAAATGACAAAGGGCTTATAACATTTAATATTCCAAGGTCAGCAGAAATTATTTATGCCAACTCCAGTCGACTGTATACGGCTATTCCCGAATTTGGGTTAAACTCCAAAGGTTTCAGGGAATTCTATTTACAAGATAACTTTTTCTACTCTTGGATTGGACCAGTACATGGAATCGAAAATTTAACAATTATCGATCTTTCCAATAATTTCTGCTCAAACATTTCCCAATTTTTTTTTAAATACGCAACTGGAATACAAATCCTGAATTTGTCTAAAAATGATATCGGTAAACAGTTTATGAATGACATTGAGGGGAAAATATTTGAAAATATGCATTCCCTGCGTATACTTGATCTTTCATTTGACAACATAAACGTGTTGCCAATTTTAATGTTCAAAAACCTTCAAGAGTTGCAAGAATTAAACTTAAAAGGTAATTTGCTTTTTGAATGGCGCGTAAAAATGGATCACATGAGAAAAATCAAATTGATAAACTTGGCTAGAAACAGGTTAACAACGATAAACATGCATCAGCAAAGTGCCTTTGGAAGCCTATTTTTAATATCAAGTCTAACAATTGATTTATCTGAAAACAAACTTTTATGCTCATGTGAAAATTTGCAGTTTCTTTCCTGGATTACTGCCTACAGCATGCATTTTAAACAATTTAAATCATATCAGTGCTCAATGGCAAGTTCCAAAACGTTTGATTTCTCAAATGCCTCTTCGTCTTTGTTGACTTTGCGAAGAAATTGCAAATCATTTTTGTTGATTTATTTATCAATATCAGTTGCACTTGCTTTCTTAATGAGCATAATGATAGGTGTGATAATCGTAAAAAATAAGTGGAAAATTATATATTTAATTTTCAAAGTCAAGAAAAGATTGGGAAAAATTGGAACTCTTTCAAAAGAAATAGGGCCAATGGGGTATGACTACCATGCATTTATTTCTTTTTCCGATGATATGAAAGATTTTGTGGTCGATGTAATGATCCCACGTCTTCAAACTCGATCAAACTTGCGAATTTTCATTCGTGACCGTGACGATGTTCATAGAGCAGGGCAAAGCGAATATACTGTCATAATGGAAGCCATTGAAAAAAGCAGACGTGTGATATGTTTGTTATCTGATGATTACTTGAAATCCGACATCGACAAGTATCGAGTATTTGAAATAACTATTGCAAGGTGGGAAGGTGTAAAAAGAGGAAAAAGTTTGAAATTTATTCATATCATCCTGTTCCCTAAAGTTGAAATAGATTCACTCCCTGGAATATTGCTGACTATCTTGAAACAAAATTCTTACTTGGAGTATCCTAAGGAAGAATGTGCGTATGACGTCTTCTGGGAAAAATTTCAGTCTCTCATTGAGCAGGATGTTATGTCTGACATGGAGCATGAAATTAAGCCTACTATTATGCAGGATAATCTCTCTGATATTGAGAAAGACTTTGTGTGTGACACTGAACCGCTCATTACGCCTGACATTGAACAAGGGTAGTGCTTGGTTTAAAGAGAAATTGTAGAAAATTTGGAATCACAATTTTCCCCTATAATTAAGAGCATCAAAACATTTAACTTTCGCTACGATTTATACAAACATTAATCCAGCAGAATATATCTAAACGGATTCTATTTGAGAAAAAAAAATACTGTTGCCTTCAATTCAATAGTAAGACATATCAACGACGTTTCATCAATCAACAATAGTTATTTTCATTCATTTGTCGACTAGATATATAACAGCGAACTCGATTTAAAGCAACACCATGCAGTCTGCAACATATTTAGATGTATTATATACTATAGACTTTTATGACCAACTAGCAAATAAACTTCCAGACAAACGTGATTACTTTAACTTTTTCTATCATCAATTTCTCCTATTAAAGCAGTAATATTCCAATACTGTTAACCGACTTTTATTTGTGTATGAGAAATTTTCGTTTTGCATCCTTCTTTGACTTGTGAATATTTATCGCTGCAAACCAAATTCTTAGTAATACTTCTATTTTAAATGAATCAACGGTTGCGAAAACTAGTCGTCGCGGATAAATTTTTGAACTGGTGATTCGCAAATAAAAATTGTAGAAATATTAATTTGTTTACAGTCTCATCTGTATTTGATATTCATGTCCACCAACTTAATCGGTACGCAAGAGCATGTTAGGAGTACTATAAATCTGCAAAAAAACAAGGAAAATCAGTGTAAAATATGTTTATATTTCAGAGTTTTCAAAAAATATTATTTAAAGTCCGTATTTTGCAAATTGTATGGTTGATTTGATAACCTGTTAACAGAAACTACCTATCGTTTGTAGTATTTAGAGTGACATGTCATATACTAAATGTTTTGGCCATGGTTTTACAGTAATTTACGAATTAATCCCTTTAAATTTTCAACGCATAGGGTATGACCGGTCCACTTGGGTTGCTTATTCCCCCTTGACATACGATCAACCTCTGATGTGTTCATTGGTCAGCGATTTTACCCTGTTCACGATTTAACTTGTATTGTTAACGAGATTCATGACATCGATCACTGTTACTTTTCTTTTTCAATACAAAACATAATTAAGCATTCAATGAACTCTTTTTATACTCTGTTTTCAATTTGAGTGTACATAAATACTGTAATGAATGGAGGGTTTTATGAAATATGGAGATAACAAACAGTTATCGAGCTCATAAGTTCATTGAAACAATACAAATCAGGAGCGGAGCATAGACTTCTAAAAAAAATATCAGAGGTGGGATCAGGTGCCATGGAGTAGTATATTAATTACTTTTATCATATAATAACATATAATTCTTGTAATACAGTTATTCGATTCGATATTATCTGTTTATAATCATCAATGTGTAATGAGATTATTTTTGTTTAAAGCATTTAAGGACATACGCAACGTACCTTACCTACTGATAATTTTTCAAGATATTCTTAATTTATGATTATAGTGCCATCAGATGTTCATAGACAAAAAATCAGCATGCATAACCAGGGGTTTTGAAAAGATATCAACTGATGAAAATTCTTGTATAATTCAAAGAAAAATATACAAAAATTACTAAACATATATTCTAGATGTTTTATTTATCCAAACTTGTTTTAGAAGAAGTGTACAACAGCATACATAGACATTCAAATGTAGCACACAGTTCCTTTAAGTATTGGAACTCTTCAACTCCAGGGGAAAAGACAATAAAGTTCAAACTACATTGCGTATGTCCTTAATGAGTTACTGTAGGTACTCATGCGAACTTACTCTTATTATTCATATTACATACGTCTGATTCCAGAAATCTCAGAATGGGAATTAGAATAAATGACAAGAAAAAGAATTACGCCTATATTTCATATTAAACTGTATTTCGTTCTCTTGTTTAGGGACATTTTCACACATATCATCAATCTATCATTCTTAAAAATAGCATTGTTGTTAAATCGTTTGCCAACATTATATCCTGATTGTTCGATTAATTCGTAGAAGTGTGTTCTTAAACGCTTTTAACTCGTATGTCTACATCCTACATTATACTGTGATCAGGTCGATCAGAAAAGAGCCAATTAAAAAAATATTCTTCATGTTATGTAAAAAATTTGAATTTTTAGTATTTTATTAAGGAGATTATTACTAAGACGGTCTTTAAGTGGAGGTTTGATTTATTCCTTCATATTGTCGGATTTTTTTTTCTATTTTATTCAATAAGTTTTGCATCGAATGAAACGATTATATTCGATATTGATACTTGCTATTTGTATAAATGTATTTCAAGAAAAATTATGGTGTTTTGTTGATTATAGTATTATTGAAAATAAACGTAAATAAAGAAAATGAATTCATTCCAGAAAAAATATGGTTTATCTTGATTTTTATTAACCTACTTAAATCAGCACAGGATCTGGATTGCCTGCAAGCATGAGCAATAATGAAAAAAAGCAAGCTAGAAATTTATAAAAATGAATTTTAATCGTGTTACAGAGATGGGTCAAAGTGGAGCAACACTCCAGTTCCATGCATATAATTCTAGAATCTTATTAACTCTACGACTTATCAAATATCTACAAACTGAAAGGCCCCATGGATGTTGATAACCAGAGTCCTCCAAACTACTATGGAAGAACGTAATATATCTTCTACTTTTGTACGTTGCTGAAAGGTTATTCGGTATTTTTAAAGCAGTGGCATTGAAATATCCTGAAATTTTCCCTACTTTCTAATATACTCTTAAGAATAGATTCCTACTGGACGCATATGCAAAGAGATAAAATATTTTTTTCTGTTTTCATCAAAAGTTCTTTTTTTTTTTTTTTTTTTTTTTTTTTTTTTTTTTTAGAAATAAAATACTTACATTATGGATCAAAAGCACTCCTAAACCGTGACAATCAGCAGGTACGATAGGCGAATACGTTTATAATACATGTACCTGCTTTAGTTGACAACAATGACGAAGCGTTAAAAATTTCTTCCCTTATTTAATAAGAGTCCCCACAACTAACTCCCCCCCCCCCCTTGAAATTTCAGCTTAATTTTTTTTCTTTTCATTTATTTCCCAGACCTATAACATTAAAGATGATATATAGGGCAGCTACCAGCTTAAATTAATGCAAAGCCTTTTTAGTAACATCGAAGAGAGATGCTTAGTGTCAAGGTATGAAAGCAGCAAGAATTAAAGGTTTTTCAATTAGTGTTGGTATATTTGTAATTTCTGTTTTGTAACTGAGTTTTATGCTAATAACGAATGTTTCATCAAAATGTAATATGTTACGGAAATAAAATAAAATTAAAAATAAAGAATTTCTAAATCAACGTTAATTTCTTTAGAAAATAAACCACTATTTATAGAATATGCTGCATTAAGGATATCCGCTCGTCGGCCAGGAACGATTACTCTTAAAATTATTATTTAATTAAAAGTCTCAGAATGAAGCTAGAAATTAAATTCAAGAATAATTTTCATATCATGCATCTAAATAAGACACAAGGTTCTTTGAAATGTTAGAAACGGTTTTGTAAATAGTTGACAATTTTACCCCATAAAAGTACAAGAATAAAAACATTTTTTTTTTCATTTAATCTAGACTAATCTAGATACTCCAACATTTATTAGCTTGAAATGAAATGTAAAGTGATGTTGTGAAATATGGACACTTTTGTGGGTTGGAGAATGTTGTGAAATATGGACACTTTTGTGGGCTGAAGAATGTTGTGAAATATGGACATTTGTAAATGTACCTTTCTTATTTACCTTGATTGATCATGATTATGTAAATGACTTTTACTGAACTATGACATCATAAAGGTGTGACGTCATAGAGGTTTCTACGACGTTATGGAGATAACAGTTTTAGAGTTTAAATAAACCACTATACGATACAGAGGTGTTACATCTCTAACAAGTGATGCGTGATGCTTTCAATGTACACAGCACAGTTAAGGTGGGAATGGAAATATCGGCGACTTTTTATGATACAACATATATTCTTTTTTTTTTTTCAGGATGGCGATTCTTTTTAAAAATTTACTAATATCGGACAAATGTAATTATGATTATTAACTACATATTTAGGACGATTAAATTTTCTATTTAGACTTATCACGTGATGTGAAGTCACGTGATTTAAGGACATATACTTGCAGTATTGAGGCCACCTATACATTTCAATAGTGCAAGGGCATAACCAAATTAAAATTCGAATTTTAATTTTTAAATAGTTTCAACAACCATTATAGTTTGTGAAAAGTGCTGCGATCTTATAAAGATTCTACTATTTCATTGTTAAAATCATATTTGTATGAACGCATATAATTTTTTTGCTGGTCAGCTTCATTAAATATAGAAATAAGTTATTCAGTTTCAAGATTTCAACAGGATCGCAGCCCTTTTCAAATGGCTTAATACTTCTAGAGTTTATGATTTTAAACTTATTATGATCCACTGAGGGTATGCCCTTGCACTAGATTGATTTTTTAAGACCCTTAGATTATCCTCCATTGTACCTGCTTACAAATATACGGCAGTATCAGATAATTAGGAATTGTACGGAAAATATATGAACAAAATCATAAAAAGGACATTGCATCCAAATTAATGACCTCTTAAAAATCTGCAAATAATATTTTAGTGAATAATAAAATAAGTTTCTTCGTTGTGAAAATATTACTTGATCTGCCTCTCACTGCATACAAGCTGCGTAAACTTTTACGGAATGACGTCATATCGACAAGTCATGCCATCAGTGACTTGCTTAAACCTTGCTATGGGGGATTTAACTAACGACAAAACGCATGTTCTAGTAAGATTTGATGTAGTTTTATTATGTACTACAATTTAAAATCGCAAATCACTTTTCTGTGCTATTTTTAAGGATTGTTAGTTTGTGTGATGTCAAAGTTAATATTTCCAGTAAAAATTAGGCCCCGCCTCCTTTATGTAGCCTTATTTGTTCTGTGTAGCACATGCTTTTTACACTATATATCATTTAACAATTGAAATACT